GCATACGTCATGGCACACTAATGCAAGTTAGTTTGTTTCCAAATGGCAGAAAAGTTAAACTGAGAATCTGAGGAGTGTTGCAACACATCTCATCTGGCGGACCTTGAATAACCACAGACGCAGTAAACTGTATTCTCAAACGTTGGGTCTCTGTGGAACACTATTCAAAGAGAAGAGAAGAGACGAGACGAGACGAGACGAGACGAGAAGAAATATTTTGCTGGGTCATCAGATTTAGCCAATAGTTTACTGTTCCTGGTTTATTAATTCATTTTAAATAATGAAATATTAGTTACCAAATTCTTTGCAGTCGATATTTTCCTATTATATTTGCTGTAAAGTTTCCATGCTCTATTTGAAATATCCATTCAGACTGTTTCATTAGAGATATTTCCAGCTTGACTAAGAGAGCGTGGGGTGTTTCAGGAACCTTTGTTCTAAAGTTATCAGTAGATGACAGTAATATATGACATAATGTTGGCTGTTGTATTTATGGAGACTTCTATCATATATCAACAGGATTATGAAGGCGATGGAGCGTGTGAATAAGCTTAAAAACTTTACTCACTCCTTGTTCAATTTTTTTGCATGACTCCAAAGTCTTCCTTGTTGGATCTTTAGCTGGAAACGCAGCCTCTATGAAGATAAAATGCAAAAACACAAGCTGCATCAACTAGAGTGAGAGCAGATGTGTTTGTTTCTCAGTTACTTTCCTCAGCTGTTTAAACTAAACACACAGAGTATGTTTAGCAAGCAGTAACTACAACCTGTGTATGACAGTCACAGTTGAATCTAAGTATGTTATTCACAATACTGATCATTTAAATAATAAATTGGGATTTTTACTGTGTAAAAACTGCAAGTTGGTTTAATGTACAATGCCATTTTAAAGTTTAGGGTCACTTAGGATTTTAAAAATGTTTTTGAAAGAAATCGTCTTATGCTTACTAAGGTATATATACATTAGTGCATTTATTTGATTACAAATACAGTAAAAACAGAAATATTGTGAAATATTATTACAATTTAAAACAACTGCTTTGTATTTTATTATATTTGAAAATTTTATTTATTCCTGTGATGGCAAAACTGAATTTTCAGCAGCCATTACTCACATCTTCAGTGTCACATGAGGCTAATATGCTGATTTGGTGCTCAAGAAACATTTATTTTTATTATGAATGTTAAAATATTGGTGCTGCTTAATATTTTTGTGGAATCTGTGATACATTTTTTTTTCAGGATTCTTTGATAAATAGAAAGTTCAACAGCATTTATTTGCACTTATCAAATATATTTATTACATTTATTAAAGCATTTATTAAATAGAAATGTTTTGCAACATTTTAAATGTCTTCACTCACCAATCAAAATATTTTGATGCAGATTGTGTACCATCAATAATGAAGTCTAATGTCTTTTTAATTCTAACAGAAAATATAGAGGCTAAAATTTTATAATCAATATTAAGCAAGCAAATTGGGCACCAACTGTCTAAAAATAATGTGTCTTTTTTAGCTCGGGTATTAAGGTAGTTAAGCCTTGTGTGAAGGTGTGTAGAAGCTTTCCAATTTCTATACTCAGAGAAAAAAAATTTTTCTCTGAGTATAGAAAAGGAAAAAGAGAAAAGGAGCAAGTTCTTCAGAAAAAGATTTATAGAATTCGGACATTAATCCATCCACACCAGGGTATTTATTTAACTTAAGTTCCTTCTATACAAATAGGACTATTTTTTTGTCTTCACTTACAGATTTAGTATTACTAAGGCTAAGAAATCAGAGGTATCCTTTTCATTAAATCTAGATTCATAAACAGAGCTATAAAAAGATGAACAATAATCAGCAATAGATTTCAGGTCGTGTGTTACCATTAATGTTAAAATGTGAAATTGTATTTTTTGAATGTTTGCTTTCCTTTGATACATATCATCTAAATGGTTTTGAAGAGTAAACCGTTTCATTTTTTTCATTGTCTCAGAAAATAGATCTCCGAGTGAAAGCTGTAATCTTTGAGATGATATTTTCTTCTTCACATTTCCTGGCTTTAGCTAATACACTTCCATAATTCCTTAAAAATGTACCAATTTCAAACTTCAATAATTCCCAGTTAATCATTACTCAGTTGAGCTATATTCCAACCATGTGCAATCAAACTGTGAATGGTCACCTAAACAGAATCGGTCCAGAATTGAATTAAGTTTCCAATAAGAGTTATTATGGTTTCATGAGAAACAGACATAATTCAAATAATATTTGTTTAGTTTTGCATCTCATCGATTATCCCCACCTATATTCAGAGAAGAGCTTCATTCTTTTTTTAGACTTCCATAAGTCATTTGACACTGTTGAACATAATTTAATTTTTTCGGCCAATAAAAATGTGGTTTCAGTAACTATTTCATTAAGACGACTTTATACTCCAATGGTAACTGTTCAATCAAACTGCGTGCTGGCACCTCACCCAGATTTAATCTTAATCATGGTATCAGAGAGGGATTCCATATTTCCCTACCTGTTCTTAATCAAATCAGCAAGAAGTTGTGAACAGAGTAAACAGAGCATTTAAAATGATTTTATTAAACAGAGCCCTAAGGCCTAAATAGGTGCCAGTGAGTAGTCCTACTACGGCCATCTAGTGGCCATTCATATTTCATTATATTGCTAGTTTTATACCAACATGAGTCACCAGATGTCGCCAAAGTATACCAAATTTTGAGGTTTTGCCCGTTTAAACTTACTGGAATTAATATTTTAATATTAAGTAAAAAAAAGTAAAAAATAAGTATATTTTACATGAAATTTTGTAATTTTAGAGGTAAATAAGTTTTTAAAATTCCGGTAATTTTACGCCAATTTACTGGTATTACTGTTTGAAAGGGGCTATTGTTTCCACAAAAAGGTTAAGCAACAAAAACAGTTTTTAACATTGAACATTTACTATTTAATATTATCAAAGTAAATGTCAGCATATTAGAAAGATTTCTCAACGATCACGTGACACTGAAACTTCTCTTTGTAAACAACAACAGATTTATAAACGATTCTAATGACGAATGTTGCGTTCCCAAATGTAAATTAAAGAGACTCTATGCAGCTAGCATTTACAGTGAATCGAAACTGAAAACAGTGTCAGACCATAGCCTATATTTATATAATTACATCATAACAGTTGCAAATTTTATAATACTAAGCAATCTCAAATTCTCACTACCATTCATAAAAAAGTTTCCCTGTGGGGTATGATTTTAGGCCGAAATAACTGGAATTCCGGATTAATCCAAAAGAATCACATCCCTGTGTGTGGTTAGGTGCCTTACAAATCAGTTACTTGTCAATCATTGTAAATGGTCATTCATATACCCTTTAGATAGTACTGTCTTAGTTTGGGGTTCCGGATTTGGTGATGTCCTTCGACACTTTCCTGCCCAGCACTCTTCCCCAGTGCACCCAGAGCGCCAATGGAACACTGAGCAGTAATGAAGCCTGGAGGCTGCGAAATTCCAGCCGGCAGCTTTGATCCCAATCTAAAGAAAAAAGATGACACAGGTCTCTTTGTGAGCTGGATCTACACATCAATGATTTCATTTTTCGTCTATTCCTTTAAACCCAGCCAAACCTTACCTGTTCTTAACATTTCCAAAGTAGCTGGCCCTGCTCTTGTCTCTCTGAGCTCTGTGGTCCATGAGGTTTGACTGCTGAGAATAAAGAAATGGCCAGTCAAAATGTTTACCCTTCCAGTGTAAGAATCAGTGATCGAAGGATTGCCCACTGTGTCGGCATCTGGAAATCTTCCTCCTTCTCACCATCCTTATCAGCATCATCTGCACTCTACAGAAAACCTGCAATATGAGAGGAAGAAGGGCAATGAACATTTGGTTTACTTCACCTTATTTATTTTATATACTATTTTAGTATTTAGTTAATATATAGGCTATGCTTCTGGAATTTGGTTAAAGGTAAAAACATGCAGATAAAGCTTTGTGGACTGAAAGACATTTTCTCTTTATATCCATATACAGACATTTAAAATTCAGGAAATACATGCAGTCTATCAGAAGGCACAGGTAGGCAGATTTAGCCCAATATTACAGCAAATACCATGTCCAGTAATTATGTGGTTCATCTAAGATATACAAGCAGCTGCTTCAGTCATTTAATGTCGAAGCAATAATCAGGCCCAAAACAGCACAAGATGTGGATTGTTGATATTACCTCATGTGCTGCTGCAGGCCCGAGCTGCATCACAATGTCGCACTTCTGTGTCTAGCATCCTCATTAACAGATATATACATTAATAATAAACACTTTAATGTCCGATGTCACTCACTTTACTGAATCCTTGAGAGATCGTTGTTATCGGTCCTGATTAAAATTCTTCAGCAGTAATCCTAACGATGGACCACTTATTGTTGTGCTGGTGTTTATGATATTCTATTGAGTTATAATGATCGAAAATCCTTAAATACATGCACTTGTCTTACCTCGGTATTTAATGATCCCATATAACGACCAGCAGACCGAGACGCTCCGCATGATTCGCTGTCATGGGTTTTGATGCTGCAGCAGTGAATCTGTCACCAGTCATTAGATAATAGAACAGGACCGCACGATTAAACTCGAACTTTCTCTTAAATCCCCAAATTACAATCGAAATGTCGTTGTAGAATGCACCGACTGAAAATCTCTCTCTCTCTCTATAGATCTGAATTTATATATCAACGTTTCGGTTTAGTATGGCTAAACAGGAATATCAACTTTATCTGCAGGGTGACTTTTATTTGATTAATATTGTTATATATTGATATAAAAAACATAAACCAAATGCGTCTGTGTTAAAACTTTCTAAGCATAAAATCTTAAATCTATTTTGATTTATATACATACATGTGTTTCAAAGCTGTATATTTTAACTTTACGTGCATATTGACTTTTATTTTGCATTTAAGGCCATATTCTATTGGACTGTGAGGTAATAAATGCAGAATTCGAACCAATCACAGGACGAAGTTACCACACGCACTTCCGACAAATCAGCCGGGGGCGCGGTGAGCTAACAGCTAATCGGCTAACAGAACGGGGAGAAAGAAGCCCGGACGATTCACAACACACAGTAAATCAGAGTAATCTGCACTAGTGCAAAAAATAAATTGATCTAATCTGACCACGCACGGTATGGTTTATATTTCTTCTAAATGCGTAATCTGCACATTTATAAGATGTTAGCTAATATGCTAAAAGAAGGAATGAGGGTCACAGGATGCCTTTGGTTTGTTTACATGATATGTTTTATTGTATTTATGTTACCAGTTTGCACTGTTATTTTTTTGTACCATATCTACCATAATCGCTTGTTCATTTACATGCCCATTTTCTTATATATATATAATTGTATTAATCTACTCTATCTGAATATTTACTTCTTGATTTATAGTTTTGATTAAGTATATAGAGAAATTATATAATAGAGCGGTTGAGCGTCACAAAACACCTGAGCTTACGCTGTTTAACACTCCTTTATTCACTTATTTTCCAAAATGTAACAGTATGCAGCAACTGCAAAAACATCATTAACCGTTCTCTTTTATACCGTACATGATTCCTTGACTAGCATTCACATGATTTGCACATGAAGAATAGAATATCTTATCTTTGTTTCCCTTTTTTTTTTTTTTCATTTTTCAAGGCAAAGGAACTCTCTTCCCAGATGAACATGTTCAGTGTCCTATAATAATAATAATAATAATAATAATAATAATCGAATCACTACGATACAATCCAAGGCGGTGGTGCTTTCTCTCTTCACTCTCAGCAAAATGGAAGCAGAAGCCGTAAGCAGATAAACATCTAAAGAGCCGATTTATTCATGTACTGTCCAATGTTTATATATATTTTTTAGAATATTTACTTTTATAAGATGTTAGCTAATATGCTAAAAGAAGGAATGAGGGTCACAGGATGCCTTTGGTTTGTTTACATGATATGTTTTATTGTATTTATGTTACCAGTTTGCACTGTTATTTTTTTGTACCATATCTACCATAATCGCTTGTTCATTTACATGCCCATTTTCTTATATATATATAATTGTATTAATCTACTCTATCTGAATATTTACTTCTTGATTTATAGTTTTGATTAAGTATATAGAGAAATTATATAATAGAGCGGTTGAGCGTCACAAAACACCTGAGCTTACGCTGTTTAACACTCCTTTATTCACTTATTTTCCAAAATGTAACAGTATGCAGCAACTGCAAAAACATCATTAACCGTTCTCTTTTATACCGTACATGATTCCTTGACTAGCATTCACATGATTTGCACATGAAGAATAGAATATCTTATCTTTGTTTCCCTTTTTTTTTTTTTTCATTTTTCAAGGCAAAGGAACTCTCTTCCCAGATGAACATGTTCAGTGTCCTATAATAATAATAATAATAATAATAATAATCGAATCACTACGATACAATCCAAGGCGGTGGTGCTTTCTCTCTTCACTCTCAGCAAAATGGAAGCAGAAGCCGTAAGCAGATAAACATCTAAAGAGCCGATTTATTCATGTACTGTCCAATGTTTATATATATTTTTTAGAATATTTACTTTTGTTTGCTTGCTCTTCAGGAGGTAATCCCTCTATGGCAAAATAAACCACATGGATCAACTCGTAGTGTGGTGAGACGAATCGGCTCGACACTGCCTCTTAAACCTTGTCCCAGAGCTTGTTTCCAGGTATGGGAATAAAAAATTGTTCATATAAACAAACACATAGTTTTGTGCATCCAGATAGTTTATGTTGTAAGCTAATCATCCTAAGCTTTTCCAAAAAGGGTCATACATTGGCTGTTTGTGGTCATTTTTGACCATGTATATTAAAAGTGCAACTTTTAAAAAAATGAAACATAATTCTTAATTTCCCTGAAATAGCAACAATAAAATTATGCTATTCTGTTTTTTTTAAACTGTCACCTTAAAAATAGCTCTGCATTAGGGTCTTTCATATCCTATGGCTGTGAACAGCCAAGGTGTGACGTTTTCTTTAAATAACCACTTGGTCTCTTAGTGTTGTTGTTGTTTTAAGTTTTGAACAACTCAGACTGAGGAAACTCTTTCTATAACAAAAACAAAAATTAAATTGGTAAAAAATGATAGAATAGCTTATATGTGTTCTCCAGGAACTCCCAGGCCTTCCATCGATGCGTTCTATGGATGGTCCTTTGGTGCCTACATTGGCAGATATTGCCTGGATTGCAGATGATGAGGAGGAGACATATGCCAGAGTCAGGTAAGTGGTTTGTTGTGCTGGTGCATTTAGTTTCCTCTGAATTTATATTTGACAGGTTTTTAAAAATGGTGCTATGTAAGATATAGAGCAGAATTGAAAAGTGTTGGGTCTTCAGATGAAAATTAATTTTAAACCAATGCTGTCTTGCTATTTGTCAGGAGTGACACACGTCCCCTGAGGCATGAGTGGAGGCCAACTCCTCTGCTGGTTATGCACAGGAACTCGTCTGTGCCAAACTTCAGACGCGAAGGCAGGCGAGTCGAGGGTCTGAGGAAACCAGGAGTAACCGCTTTAAACTGCACTACAGCTTTACAGGATGAGCTGAGTCGACTCCGAGCCCAAATCGCCAAGATTGTTGCTTCAGAATCAGGTTGAGTAGTTGACTAAAGCTCATTTAATTATCTATCATTTACAAAACAAACCTCTGACAAAGGTAAGTTGGTAATAAACTGGAATTTGCCATTAGGCTCAAAATTAATCACAGACTTGTCTGTGGCATCAGTAATGTAGTCAATTTGATGTATTTGCTTGTAAAGGTTTTGTCTTGTAGTCCCTCATGATGGTTGAACTGTTTCAGATTCGAATCCCATAACCCCTGACCTGCTGTCCCCTGACGACACTAGTGTGGGCTTCTCCATGGCTCATTTTGAGGCAGCTGCTTACCAGTCAGCCCCTACAGCCTCCTTTGTCATCAGTGATGTCACAGAGGAGGAGGAAGAAGAGGAAGAGGATGAAGAGGAGGAGGTGTCAGAGCTAGTGCCTGATCCTATGCCACCAGTTTCCATGACTGCATCTGCAACTTTTGATCTCGATCGCCCTACTATGGACTTCCGAGAGCCAGAGGAGGACACTTTGTCTCTGTCAAAATCAACAAGCTTCGCTGATGTTATGGACATCCTGAAAGACATGAACCGAATGAAGATGAGCAAGGACAGGTGAGTGCTGTTGTTTTTATATATATATATATATATATATATATATATATATATATATATTTTTTAATAATTGTGT